GTGTGTTTGGTTTTTCAAGACAGGGTTTCTCTGTGTAACTTTGGAGCCTATCCTGGCACTCGCTCTGGAGACCAAGCTGGCCTTGAACTCACAGAGATCCCCCTGCCTCTGCCTCCCGAGTGCTGGGATTAAAGGCGTGCGCCACCAACGCCCGGCTCTGGTGTGGTTTTTAACTTTGTTATATATACCCTTTACAGTCTAATGAGATATTTCTGGATCCCTGCTTTGCAATGAGTTCTGATGAGAATATCCCTTTCCAAGGTTGCTAATAAATAATAAATAACAGAATTTAAAAAAGAAATGAGATCCATGTGCATGCTGGTTTCAGGAGAGCCATCATCAGATAAAATGAAATAAAGAAGTTGAAATTAGAAACAGAAAAAAATGTCCTATGAAAAAGGCAACCAAACCGAGGTGGCTGTGTTTCAGTCTAATAGGTGGATAGAAGTTTAGGGTGGGAAGAAGATATAAAAATTACAAAGGCACAGTCACACAGTACATGATGATGTCAGTCAAGGACAGATGGGGTAGATGTTTATGATCCTATAAGATCATATCACCGTGTGACAGCACAGCATTCTTAGTTTCTGTAAATGCATTCGAGTGTCTGCACAAGAATGCAATGTGGAGATAATGCAATTCTCAGAACAATTGCATCTGTGAGTGACATCTGACTATGTGTAGGGAACTAGTACCTTTCTCTCACGTTGTTCAATCTTTGTTCTTCACAGCATCTTTCAGGTAATATAGGAGTTACATTGGAAGATCACATTCCACTTCTTAAGTAAATGATTAAAAACAGGGTCATCCCAAAAACTCACATGCAAAAAATCTAAATAACTTGTCACAAAGCAAGGAGCATTTTTTTTCTCTCAGTCAGCTCCCTAATTGGTAGAATGTATCTCGAAGCTGCAAAGAGTCAGTCATTTTGTTTTCTATCTAGAGAGGTAGTCTTATAAAAGATTATAAAGGAGTTATAAACGTAAACTACTGAGGAGTCTAAGAAAATAAGAAAATTGTGTACTATAACCTATACTCTTGAGTGTATAAACATTTTGAACTAACATTTTGTTATCTGCAGTCATAAAAGCTGGGCTTTCTTGGACTGAGTATTGTGTTTACAGAAAAAGGTGTGTCATTTGGTTTAGGTTTAGAATTACCATAAATCTTTTAGTATTAGCTCAATTGGCACTCTCCAAGGCAACAGTGACACTAAAAGTGTTTTAAATCTTAAAATGTATTTTCTGTCCTGTGTGTAACTTTAGACCATGAAAAGGAAACTCGTAACTCTTTGTCAGGACTATGAAGTCAAATTATTTTTTGTAGCCCTGACCAGCTAGAAAAAACAAAAACAAAAAAGCCAAAAACCAAACCAAACCAAAACTAAACAAAAAAAACCCCAAAACATTAGTTGGCTGAATGTTGAATCTCCAGGGTACATGCCATATCAGAAAACTGAGGTTAGGAGTTTGTTCAGAGAGTTAACCATTGTCCAAGGTTATCAGCCAGACCTAGCAAGGAAATTGCACACAGCAATTAGGTTGCTCTCCATTTTTCCCCTTAACTTAAAAAAAAAAAAAAAAATAGACAACTGGCTATATGTCCTTGTAGACAAGATTGCTTTTCTGGGAATAGTTTATCTTAAAAACATTAGCAAGGTACCTGGTGTAATTTAAAGCTACTTTGAAGTTTTATATCAGCTGATAGATCACAGCTATCCTGGCAGCTGGGGCAATGTCTAGGCTCAGCACACCCTTTTCTCTTAGCATTAGCTGTCTCCTGGGAAGGGATGAGACCAGTGGTAAAGGTTGGTTGGAGACTGTTGTCTGAGGACCCAGCAGATATAGGGATTGAGGAAGTAGGAAACGGTGGCAGCCACAAGACTAGTTTATTGTGCATGGTTCAGTCCTAGCTACAGAGCAGGACTGGAATTAGTGTTCCTGCTGGCACAGCACAACACAGAGCTGGTAGGCGGAGGGGGCAATGGGAACTGCAAAATTGCATGGACGCAAGGATGGGGGAGGTCCAGGAATCTGAGTGGCAGCCACAGGTCTGGTTTATTGGACATCATGCAGCACAAGCTGGGGAGAAGGATGGAGCTGCTGTCCTTGCTAGCGCATGACTGCACAGAGCTCGTAGGGGACTGGGGTAGCTGGCAATGTGAAGATGCTTTGGGTGCTGGGCCGCGGCTGTCCATCAGGCACCGAGAAGCTAAAGCGCTGCAGGAGGCAGGTGAAGAAGAGGAAGAGCTCCATGCGGGCCAGGGGCTCCCCCAGGCATACTCTGCGGCCTGTGGGTGGGAAAGAAGCTTAGTCAGTCTGGGGCCTGGTTGATGCTCCACCCCCCCAAGGCACCCTGGGAAGAGACCTGGAGCCAGGCACCCCACAGCACCTGCTGAGAATGGCATGAAGGCCTCATGCTTCACAAAGCGGCCCTGGGCATCCAGGAAGTGTTCAGGATGGAAGTGGAGGGGCTTCTCCCAGACAGTCTCATCCTTCAGCACTGAGGACAGGTTGGGGATGAGGGTCGTCCCCTGGCAGGAGGCACATGTGTGAATATGGACTGGGATAGGGCTAACATGACCCTGGTTACCATGACCACATGCACATGTCTCTACCTCCCACACTTGATCCTTTCATGTAACCTCAGCCCCAGAATCATCTCAGCCCCTTGGAGTGCCCTGTACATGTCTCCATGGGTGCCCAAACCTGTCCTGTGTGCAGTGCTTCTTAAAGCTTCTGTGGTCATTGTCATTGGCCATTTCTCTTTACTGAGGACACTCAGTGGCTGCAGGGTACCTGCACCAGGCTGGTCCTGTCAGCATGTTGGAAATCCAGGGTGTGCTGGTCTTGTTCTTTCCCGCCCATGTGTGCTAGTGTCATGATGTAAGAGTAGGAGGGCCCATGCCTACCTTGGGGATGAGGAATCCTTGTACTTCAATGTCACGAGATGTGATGGATAGCAAATTTAATGGGGATACATTTCCAAAGTGCTGCACCTCATGAATGGCAGCATTGGTGAAGGGCATGTGGGCCTGGTCTGCCATCTCTGGGCTTCTCCTCTGCCCTATGATGGCATCAATTTCCTGTTGCACTCAGCCTGCAGGGAAAGCATCCCCTCAGTGAAGCATTCCTAGGGGTCTTCCCTCTATTCCTCCTTTACAACCATGTTAAGCGCTGAGGTCATGTGAGAAAGATGCCCATAGTGTTGGGAGTCTGTGTTAGGTTAGTGCTGGGAGCCATACATGTCTGGAGTCAGCTAGGAGGGTGTGCGTCTCTTTCCCCTCTCATCCCCAGCCAGGCTCACTCTGCACATCTGGGTACAGGATGGTGAGCAGCAGGGCCCAGGACAGGGTGGATGAGGTGCTCACTGTCTCTGCAGCGAACAGGTCATTCACCACCATGTGCAGGTTCTCATCATTGAAGCTGCTCTTAGGATTCCCCTTGGCCTGGGGCAGACAGGGAAACTGGGCTCACTGGGGAGAGGAATTCCCACAGTGGCCTCCCATTGTCCCCAGCCGGCTCAGCTGCTGTGTCACACAGCCTCTGCCCTGATCTTAATGGCTATCTCTTGCCTTTTCCATCTCTGCCAGGAAGGCATCAGTGAGGTCTCAGGGTGGCTGTTCAGGGTCCCAGGTCCTCCTGCGCTCAGTCAACAGGTTCTCCACCATGGCCATAAAGGTCTTTTGCCCAGAGAAGACCTTGTCAAACAACCCTGGGACATGCAGGAGCACTGGGAATGTGTTCAGAATCTATGACAACCTCAGAGGAAGTCTCAGTGCTTCCTCTTTTAAAATTTTAATTACTCATTATTCTTTATAGTGTATGGGGCTCTTGAACCATGGTATGTGTGAACAAGTAACAGGACAATTTGTAAAGTCTATCATGGGTCCTTGGCATCAAACTCACGTCCCCAGGCTTACTTGGGCAGTCCGTTACCCACTAACCACATGGCTGGCCTCTTGGTGCTGGTTATGCTCAGGGTCCTCCTGGACCGGTCTCAGAAACCAGCCTCCTTCACAATGGACCCTGAGACTGTTTGTCCCTACCCATAACCTGCCTCCTCCTCAGTTCCACCCTTTAGACTCTTGCAGCTGGGTGAACAGAAAGAATATCCTACCCTGGAAATCACAGGCTAGTGTGGCTTCCATGTAGACAGAGGGCACAGGTTGCCTCTCTCTCTAGAAACCTCAAATTTGATTCTCTTCTCCCCTCCTGTTACCTGATTTTAGTCAACTTCAGGCCTTTCCTCCTGCAAGCTGTATGTTGGTTTCTTACTTGCACAAATAAAGCCTGTCTGGCGGTCAGAGAATGGAGCTTGCCTCTAGCTATCCATAGAAGTCTGGAGATCTGTATAAACAGATAGGCTGGGCAGAAACAGGATATAAGCAGGGAGAAACAGGAAATAGCTCTCTTCTCAGCTGAAATACTTAGTAGGTAAGGCGGCTTTCTCCTCTCTGATCTCTAAGCATTTCCCTCTATATCTGACTCTGGCTTTTTATTATCTAGACCAATTAAGAACTCCATTTATATTTTGGGCCCAGGTGGCCAGAACATTAAAGGCAGGACAGGGGCTGATCGCCCCATGAGGGTCCCAGTCCAGCCCTGAGAATGCTGCTAGCTGCCTGCTGTGAGCTCACTGAGACAAGCCTGACTCCCTGCTACTCCCCTGCATCCAGCGCCAGTGGTTTATACACTCCTAAAACCTTTTTTTCCCCCTGAATTTGGTGGTTCCATCTAGCTTTTATTTAGACAAAGGGCCACACTCCCAGACCTTGAGACTTCCCAGAGCTGGTACATCCAATGCAGCTCATGGCCGTGCACCCACCGTGCACCCGCCATGGACTTACCCAGCATGGTCAGCCTGCTGAGTCCTGATCGGTGATTGGCAATTAGTGCATACAGGTTGCTCTTTTTCTTTTCCTTTTCTCTTTAACAAAAATCTTTTAGGTTTGGTTTCTTTGAGTTTTTGCTTAGTATTCAAAGGTTGGACAACGTTGGAGCAAGTCAGACTGGCGCTTCAGTGTCCTTGGACTTGCTTTGGTGTATACCTGCGACACCTGCTGGGCAAACATCATCATTGCAACTTAAAATTAAGACCATAAGAGGTAGGAAGACTTTCTGAGGATTTAATTTGAGGTAAGTTACTGGATATTTTGCAATTTAAGCTAGCAAATAAATTAATTAAAATAGGTTTCTTTTACAATTTGTTAACTTCTGCTACAACAATGGTGGAAAATATTACCCTCTATGAATTTTAAAATCTTTTTGCTTCTACTATGCGTGGAATTTTAAAAGAGGCACATGACGTACCTGGGACGTATACACTCTTAGCCATATTTGCTATTAGTTTGGTAATTCACATCATATCATTAAAGATATGGTTTGATAATAGGGCTAAGAATGAGGAACTAATAGACATGATACAGACTTTACAGACCTACAATCTTAATTTGACAGAATTCACAAAATGAAACATGGTAATGAACTCCTAACAGAAAAAAATGCCTTCCATGTCTAAGAGTATTGGCAAGCTTGCAGATAGAACATTGTTTTTGGAATGCAATCTGCATGCCATTCAAATAATCTCAAAGGATGAGAATATTAAAACATATGTAAATGATGAGAACAATGAAACTGACTGATTTAATAAAATTGTTGGAAGTTTTTACTGTCCAGGGATTTCAAACGCTCTGAGGAACAATGGTGAATAGATTACAGGCCATGGGAAACCTTCTTAAAACTGATACACCAGAAGCTTATATACAAACGAAAGAGAATAAAAAAGATCTAACAACACCAGCACATTTTAGAGTCAGAGATGACTTACCAAAGTTTGTATCATCATCACCTGCTATGGTCTATCCTGCTACTATTACTCAAAAGCCAGCAAATGATGAACAACCAGAAGGATTTACAGAATGTAAATGGGAACCTACAGGTATGAAATATTTAAAAGACATTGAAGAAGTAGTAGTTTCTTATGACATGCATTCACCATATGTGAGGCAGTGAGTAAAGACATGGGTTACAAGACTTAGAAAAATTCCAAATGACTGGCTTCAATTAATCTCAGCCATTCTAGAACTTGGTCCACAGCTGCAGTGGAAGTCGTATTGGAGAGAGGAGGCCAAAGCCCTTGAATATCAAGGCAGAATTAAAGATTATGAGGTTCCCAAGATCAAATTCTTGGTGAGGGTCCTTATGCAGATGCAAATACTCAAGCTACATACAATTAACACATCTTGTCCTTATGCCATACAGCATCCTTGAGTGCTTGGGACAAGATTCAAGAACAAGGGAAAGGAGTTTAGTTGTATATTAAGGTTATACAAAGCCCAAAAGAACCTTTTAGTGACCTTTTGCAAAGATTGACTAAAGCGGTACAAATAGGAGTAGCAGACCCAGAGGCTAGATGAGTACTCATTGAATCTATAGCTTTTGAAAATGCTAATATAGAATGAAAAAAAGTGATTGGGGCCTTAAAGATCAGATCAGCACCAATGGATGAGTGGATCCTGCACATAGCCAGTGTTGAGTCTTTTGATTATAACATTGAGGCTTGGGTAGGAGAAGCTATCTCCAAAGGCATGAGGAGAAATCAAAATACCAAATGTTTTAGTTGTGGTAGGATAGGCCATCTGAGAAGAAATTGCAGACATGGCACACCCAGAAATAATGCTTCTTTTGGGAATAACCAAAATAGAAGTCCCCAACCTTCTGGATTATGTAGAAGGTGTGGCAAAGGCTGACACTAGACCAGTGAATGTAGATCGATAAGAGACAAACAAGGCAACCCTTTAACATTGGGAAACTCCTTGGGGGGCTCTTAAAGGCCCCCATGTTGAATGTGGTCCAGTCATTCCCAGTCACTGTGGAAGACAATCCTCTCCAGGATATCCAGTGCCTATGGTAAAAAAATGGTACTGCTCTGGATGGTAGAATAGCTTTTGTAGATGAGTCAAAAATTCAAGGAGGAAACAGAAAACGTTTATTTTGGCAGACTTAGATAAATGACTAAAGACCAAAACTCAGAGTACAAATCAGTAATGTTATGCTTGAAGGATTACTGGACACAGGTGCCGACATCACCATTATCACTCCAGAATTTTGGCATCCTAGTTGGCCTCTTCTGGAGGTAGATGCTCAGTTCTTAGGGATTGGAACCCTATCTCACGTAAAACAAAGCATTAGATGGGTTGAATGTATAGGGCCAGAAGGACAAAGAGGAAGACTGAGGTCACATGTGGTTAATATAGCAGTAAATCTATGGGACCATGATCTGTTGAAACAATATAATACTCAAATTAACATTCCTTCAGTATCAAAAATGAACCATAAACCAACTCATATTTATGGAAAAATGTTATAAGGTACTATATAAAACAGACACCAATCATCCATGTTGAATTCATAGAGGGACCAAAATCTCTACCCTTAAAGTGGTTAACCAAAAATCCTCTGTGGGTGGGGCAATAGCCTGTGACTTCAGAGAGAAGCTAGAGGCTCTAGAACAACTGGTTCAGGAATGCTGGACATATTGAAGAATCTACCAGCCCTTGGGATTTTCCTGTATTTGTTATTAAAAAGAAATAAGGAAAATGGAGAGCCATTAATAAAGTAATTCAGTCAATGGGCACTCTACAGCCTGGAATGTTGTTGCCTTCTTTATTACCTAAAGATTGGCCTATTATGGTTATTGACTTAAAAAACTGTTTCTTTACTCTACCTTTACAATAAAAAGATAGGGAAAATTTGCCTTCACTTTGCCTACTTACAATAATTCACAACCTGCTAAAAGATATCAGTGGAAGGTTCTCCCACAGGGAATGTTAAATAACCCTACCTTGTGCCAATATTTTGGACAGCAGCTGTTGGAACTAACATATAAGCAGTTTCCTCAATCTATAATTTACCATTACATGGATGACATTTTATTATCTGATTAAAGTAGATAATTTAGAATGTTTGAAGAAGTAAAGAAAATTTTGCCTTGTTGGGGATTACAAATTGCTCCTGAAAAAAAAATACAAAGCGGGGATTTTATTAATTAATTGCTAGGGGACATTTCTCATCTATGGCACATTATTGGGATAAAACCTGATCAACTGATTCATTTACACTAAACCTT